AGAGAGAGAGAGAGAGAGAAGGAGAGGGAGGGAGGGGGAGGGAGGGAGAGAGAAAGAGAGAGAGGGGGGGTTCCTGCCAGTTCTAACCTCTTCTATAGAAGAGGTTCCACAAATCTACAGTGCTGTTTAGAACCGGTTCCAGCTCCCTCCCCCCGCCAGTCCACACATCATCAAGATGAAGAGGGAGAGGAGGAATTCTGGGAGTTGAAGTCCACAAGTCTTAAAGCTGTCAAGTTTGAACAACCCTGGAATTTTTTTTTCTAAAGGGTTAGGGGTGCAAAGGTCTTGTAACTTGACAGTTTTAAGACTTGCATGCTTCAAATGTCAGAGTTTCTGAGCCAACATTTTGGTTGCTAAGCAAGAGCGTTAAGTGAGTTTCACCACAGTTTACAAGTTGGCCATGCCCTCCCAGTCACATGACTGCCAAGCCACTCCCACTCAGTCATATGGCTGGCAAGCCACTATCACAAAGCAGGCCACACCTACAGAGGAGATTCTAAAAAAATTGAAACCCACCACTGGTGTTCATGTGTGTACAGTATACATCTCTATCTGTACATCTCTATCTCCATCATCCATCCATCCATCCATCCATCCATCCATCCATCCATCCATCCATCCATCCATCCATCCATATCTATTAATTTATATGTCACCTATCTTGTTATCCAAGTCCATGCAAAACATGTTTTTAGTCAGAAGTCTCCTACTGCTCCCTTTAAATCTCTAAGATACTTTCGGCTAACATAAATTACGTTTTGTCCAGAGGAGGGGGAGATTGTCCCCCCACCCTGGACAAGCAAGCTGTAGCCAAATATAACTTGGTGCTCTCTGAACTTGGTGGTTTGTTTACAGATATTTCTTTCCTGATAAGGTAACAGCATCATTGCTGTTAATGTAGAGTGAATGTAGAGTTTGCTCCCTATTTGTATACGGTAGCTTTCTTTGCCAGTGTTAATGGGAATGGGGTTTTCTCATTGGTAGTTTTCTCAATAAGGATACTTTTTTCTGCTTGATTTTTTGGGTCTGATATTAATCCCTGCTGATCTGAGCAGTGGCTGGAGAAGATGTTTTTTGGTTTTCTTATGTTCTTCTTAGCTATTTTATTATCTCCTTTGAATGGCATGTAAATGTAGTTTATCTCTAAGTGTGTATTGATGACTGATTTGTCTGAATGTCAGGTTTCCGGGAATTAAATTCTCTAGAATTTTTGGATTTAGCTTGCTCTAGCAGTTGAAACTATGATTAAGTCTAACTATATGTTGTGAAAATCGCATTTCTATGCTTTGCTTGTGTCAACCATCCTTTTGGCATATGCAGCAAAAGAAATTCCTGGGACATTATTTTACTAAGATTATAACTTTACAGATAGATCTATACAGAAGAAGTGCAACTATCTCTGAGGTCTGCAAATTAAAAACAGCATAATTTCCCTTTCCCCATTTTGACCACCCATTGTCCATCGTCCACCAATCCAATTCTTTTTATTTTGGGAAACAGACTGCACCTTCAGAAGGTTCCCATTGCACGGCCTTGAAGTATCATGATCTTCTCAGGCTGCAAACATCTCACATACGTTCCTCACTTCCCTTCAAGTTCCTGATACATTCCAAGCATCATCCTTCTCCCCTCCCTTCATTTCTGTGGCCAAATTGCAAATAGTGGTGTGTTACGAGTCAGCTTCACAGCTTGCTACAGCTTGTATACTTGCTTTTACACAAGGTAGCCTTGTCAATTGCCACCATGCTGTCCCTCCTGGTTAGGGAAACTTTCCAGGATTGTAGCTTCTGGGTGGTTGCATGCTGTGACTACTGCAGGGTGTGTAGTCTTCCCAAAACCCTTGAAGGAGGCTTAGCCTGCTCCCACCTTACCCCATTTACTGGACAATCTCTGTCCAGTTTCTCAGTTTCCTTTACTAGGAAAGGTGGTAGAGAAAGTGGTTGTGTTACAGCTCCAGAGGGTTCTGGATGAAACAGATTGTCTAGACTTCTTTCAGTCAGGTTACAGGATAGAAACAGGTCATACTTGTCAATGATATTTTATGAGAGCAGATGGGCTAGTGCATCGATCCTTGACTTCCTTGACTTTTTAGTTGCTTTCAGTGCTATCAGCCATGGTATCCTTTTAGCCCAGTTGTGGGATTTGGGACTGGGTGGTGCAGTATTGCATTGGTTTGATTCCTTTCTCAATGGCCAGTTCCATTCAGTATTGATAGGGGACAAGAGGTCCAGCCGATAGCCACTCCTTTGTGGAATACCACAAGGCTCAGTACTCTCACCATTCCTTTTTAACATCTACCATTGGGTGAGATTATGGAATGGAATGAGATATCAGTAATATGCTGATACTCAGCTTTATATTTCCATCTCTGGTCATCCAAGTGATGCCTGGCTGCCTTTTCACAGTGCCTGTAGGCTGTAGGGGTCTAGTTGGGGAATAAGAGGCTTCAATTAAACCCTGGTAAGATAGAGTGGCTGTGGATATATGGGGCCTTGAGATCTGGAGATTTATCATCATTTATTCTAAATGGAATGGCACCACTCCAGTAAGTGCTGCCTATGGAAAGAAGCTGAAGAAACAGTGGACCACCTGGTAAGAAGATCACACAGACTGATTAGCAGCGGCATGACAAAGTAGTAACAATGATGCATTGGAAGATCTGCAAGAAATATCATCTGTCTGCAAGCAAGAACTGGTGGGACCATTAAATAGAGAAAGTCATAGAAAGTGAAGAAGTTAAATTGCTCTGGAACTTTAGAATTCAAACAGACAGGAACCTGCCACATAACACTCTGGGCTTAACAGTTGTTGATAAGAAAGACAAGAAAGTCTGGATGGTGGATGTGGCAATGCCTGGAACAGCAGACCAGTAGAGAACAGCAGACTAGAAGAGAACAGCAGACTAGAAGAGAACAGCAGACTGGAGAAGATAACAAAATACAAAGACCTAAAAATAGAAATAGACCAACTGTGCCAAAGGTAAGCAAGGATAGTACCAATAGTAAGAGGCATCTTGGGTGCATCCCAAAACAACTAGAGCACCACTTGAACTCCATTGGCATTGACAAATTCACCATCAGTCAATTGCAAAAGACATATTTACTTGGAACAGCTTCCAACCTGCAACAATGTCTATAATACCATCAAACATCCAGATCTGCCTATCTCAGGTCCTTGGTAAGGACTCAATAGGTAGACAAAAATGCCAAACCCAATCTGAATATCTGGTTGATTGTGCAAGCAACAACAATAATAAGATTTCAAAATGATAGCCTGAAAGTTTCCTACCAGTAGCAGTCTTCATTGATGTCATTCTTCCTGTAGACATAAACTGATCTCCACACATCCTTTTTGAATGTCAAATCGCTATTTTTCCAGAAATCAATCAAGAAGTAGGTCACTTTCCTAGTTGGTGTTAACATCCTTGTTAAGTTTTTTTTGAAGTCACAAGACAGACCAAAACTCCCAATAGAAATCAGAGGGAGATCCAATATATTCTCTGATCTAGAAAATAAAGACTAACCATATTATCTTACCATGGCTGCTATTGCTGTCAATATTTCATACTAGAACTAATGGGAAACACACATGTAATACTCTTCAGCTTGACTTCAGCTTAAAATCAGTATAAAACCAAAATAAAGTTAGCTGTTTATTTCAGAAAAATGATTTAATAAATTATACAAGTAGTTATAGTCAAATGTTTCAAATGTTACAGTGTGGATTGCTTCTGTTGATTCTTTCACTTGTCAACTATCAGGGCCAGTAAGGTGGATATTGGGCATGGAGAATTACTGGACAAATTACTTTGATTATTCATCTGTCAATGGACCTGCAATTCTAAGGTTACCAGGTTGGGGATTTAGAAATATGGACAACTTCTAGAGAGCAGCAAAGAAATTGATTATCTATAAAATGAGAAAGGATAACCTTGAGCCATGGTGGCACACTGGGTAGAATGCAGTGTTGCAGGCTAATTAGGTTGACTGCCGATTGTCAGCAGTTTGAGTTTCACCAGCTCAAGGTTGACTCAGTCTTCCATCCTTCAGAGGTTGGTAAAATGAGGATCCAGATTGTTGGGGGCAATATGCTGACTCTGTAAACTGTAAAGCACTGTGAAATGGTATATAAATCTAAGGGTCATTGCTATTGCTATAATATTTTATACATTCAACTCCTAAACTTTTAAATATGTAACAAGTCGATTCAATATTTTAACTTTATTCAAAACAGATAGTCCTTCACTTATGACCATAAGTGGGACTGGAAAAATCATTATTAAGTGGTGCAGTCAATAAGTGAGACATCATGTGATCATGATTGTTAAGCAACTCAACATGGTTGATAAGCAAGACATCACATGATTATGGTTTGCAACCTTCCCTGGTGGCTTCCCCATTAATTTTGGTTCTTGGGAGCCAGCTGGGAAGGCTGAAATGATGCTGCAATCATTGTAAATACATGTTGGTTGCCAGCAATGAATTGTGATTATGTGTCCATAACAATTCTGTGATTATCATAAAAGCGAGGAGCAGTCATAAGTCACTTTTCTAACCAGCATAAGTTTGCACGATCGCCAAATGAATGGACAAAATTGAGGATTATCTGTATTTGTTAATACTTACGTGACCAACTCATATGTGGCAAATGAACACATAGGACCCAGGACAACACAACCAAGTTTCTGATAAGCCTATAATATAAAAGATTAAAATAAAGATAATATTAGAATATGCCTTTACTCAACTTCATCAGTGTTCTATTTATAACCATTACTGGAAAAGAGAGCCTACTTTCTCTCATGTTTTAATTACCTCTTGATCAGATTACTACTATATGCTTTAAATGAAACTGTACTTAAACACCATCCTGAAGCAACATCTTAAGTAGTTATGGATGTTCTTTATTTTGCCCAGATAGTACCTCTACTTCAAGAGGCTTCCAGGAGCAATTCAAGATGCTTATTGTCATCTTTAAAGCTCAACATGGCTTGTATTACATATCTTCAAGATTTCTTGCTCCCAATGGTTTCTGTCCTTTGCTGGCTGAGGAACTCTGGGAGTTGAAGTCCACAGGTCTAAAAGTTGCCAAGGTTGGAGACCACTGCTTTAGAAGACTGGAAGGGGTGGCTGTTTTGAAATCCCTACTTTAAATAACTGTCATTTTATGGGCCATTAAAGCAGGTATTCTCAGCTGTTGTCTCCCTTCTCTTGAACAGAGTGCTCCACCACAGGATTAAAGTAGCTCCAGTCCTATTGCACTCAGGAAGGTCATTAAGCATTAGATCAAGATGAGTTGAAATCTGAAGAGGATGAAGCTGCACTGGAGGAAAATGGTTATGGTCCCAGGTTTTGTTTTTATTGTTTTAATAGAACTTTAGTTTTGTACTGCAGTTGTGAGCCACCCAGAATTGTGTCTTTTAAGATGGGCAGTTATATATAACTGCATTTACCATTAAATAATGTAATAATCAATGTATAATTAGCATGATGCAAATCATTATAAGATGCCATGCAATAGTGATAATGTTTAGCTTTATGTCCTGTACTTACTTAGGTGAAGTAATACATTTGAAAGATGGAACATGCAGGTCCCACTCAAAACAAACAAACAAACAAAAAAGGCAGAAAGGTATGTTGTGGAACATGTCATCCTATAAATAGGTAAGCAAAGTATAATCCTTTGATGCCAGCATAAGGAATGAATGCAAAGGTAACTGGGCTAACTAGATTTTGAATCGAATAGGTATACATACCGGTAGATGTGTGTTTGAGCAACCTGACAAGTAATTTCCCCCTCTAAACACTGTGATCTCATCTAAAACAGGCACCTGATTTTAAGGCTGCTCCCCAGCAGATCTTATTTCTCACAGAACTGAACCATTCAATCAGAACTCTGAATGCTGGGATGCTGACATTACTCTCCCGGATTTAAGGCTTCTAATACAGAGAACCAGTTTAGTCTATTCTAGAAACCAGGAGACATGAGTTCTAATTATGCCATAGCAATGAAAACTAGCTGGGTGACTTTCTCAACCCATGATGTTGGGTGACAAGCTGGTTGGTCAATTTCTGTCACAAGAACACATCAATATTTGATTGATTTGAAAAAGTAGCACCTTGGGGAAAACACTAAGAAGAAGAAAAAAAAAGGCTTCTAATTCTTGTTCTGACTCTGCTAGGGTGGAAGGTAGAGATTCTTTTTCAGGATATGTCCAGAAGGCTTGTCAGTCTTTAATCCATTCTCCCTTGTCAGAGCTCAATATCATATCCTATAGCAATATTTTTATATACCTGTATTTTTTGGAGTACAAAATGCACCTTTTCTGCCCAAAAAAGAGAGTGAAAATCTGAGCGTGTCTTATACACCGAATACAGCATTTTTGGTTTCCCAAAACCCTGCCCCCTTAAAAAAAAATAGACTTGCAGAGGGTTTGGGAGGCCTGTGAAGTGCTCCTGGGGGCTGGGGAGGGCAAAAACAAGCAACAGCCATTTTTTGCCCCCCCCCCCAGGCCCCAGAAGCACTCTACAAGCCTCCCAAAGCCTATGCATGCCCTGTTTTTCAAAAAAAATGGGCCCATTTCTGCGTAAAAAGGGGGCCATTTTTGCTCTTTGTTGTCCCCCCCCCGCCCAAGCCCTCAGTAGCACTTTGCAAGCCTCTCAAACTCTCTGCACGCCCTGTTTTTCACAAAAAGCAAGCTGTGCAGAGGGTTTGGGAGGCCTGCAGAGTACTGTTTTTTTTAATTTACCTCTTGGTGCATCTTATACTCCAGTGAATCTTATAGTCCAAAAGATATGGTATTTAATTTTTAATTAAACTCAATATCAGATAGTCGGGCTATGCATGTTTTGAAAATTATTTGGGGGAAGTGATTTGCAAAAGTAAATATATCAAGTCTATCTAGAGGATTTTTCAAGATTCTATATTAATTTCCAGAAATGATTTGAGAGAAGGTTGTAAAAACAAACAAGTTCTCCCACTTAAAAATATGAGAGAGGCCTGTAATTGAGATCATAGGTAGACCTCAACTATGAGAGACAAACTGAGAGAACAAATCCAGACAATCACATTGTCTGATTTGGAAAGAATTTTTTTGCAAATTATGGTGGAAAATAAGTATTTGGTCA